GGAGTGATGAAACACTTGATACGGTTCTGGTTGGAGTGATGAAACACTTGATACGGTTCTGGTTGGAGTGATGAAACACTTGATATGGTTCTGGTTGAAGTGATGAAACACTTGATATGGTTCTGGTTGAAGTGATGAAACACTTGATATGGTTCTGGTTGTGGTTTCTGTACTGAAGATGAGTTACTGCTTAGTGTCAAGGATCTGTTAAGTTCTCCATTACTCTCTTAAAAGTGTTATATTCTCATTTACATACATATTTCAAAATCCCATAAGCAGAATGATTTATTTCTTGCAGCTGGTGCAGAACACAAGAATTCACATTGCTCCCTTGCTGAATCCGGATGGGTTTGTGAATGCTGTCCGTGAAGAGTGCAACAGTAAGGCAGGATATAACAACAAACGTGACATTGACCTGGATACGTCCTTTACTGGTAAGCAAACACTTGAAAGGATTTGGTCGTGTCTTTACCCACATCATTTTGGGCAGGGTCTAATAACAAACGAGGCACTGACCTGTATATGTACTTCACTGGTAGACAAACACTTGATGAGATTTGGTCATTTCTTTACACACATTTATTTCTAGATCAAACGAGGCACTGACCTGTATATGTACTTCACTGGTAGACAAACACTTGACGAGATTACATTATTTATGTTCTACAAAGCTATTTATCATGGATGCAATGTACTGAATCTACACTGTGTATCAAAACATTAATGTACATTTTTTTTCTTTGTCTTAAAGAAACCTAACAAGTTCATTGTTGCATTCATTGATATCATTAGGATCTTCTAAAAAATTTGTAATGCCATATTTTCCTCAAGCTTTGTACAATTTTGGTATTTAACATGTATAAATTTGAATATAAGCATAATTAATTCAATTTACAGTTAAATCATCTTGAGTACAGTTAGTATCCTTAACTTGTGGGGTGAACCTGTGAAAGAGTTCTAGATTTCAAGGTTGAGAAACCAGGTTCGAATCCATACGGTAACACAACAGAATGTTTCATGCACTTTAAGCTGTGAGTGCATTATAAGAGTGATAGTAAATCCCTAAGCATGTAGGTGGGTGTTAGTGTGCTGTTGACTGGCTGCCTTTCTCCCCTCTCACCCCCTGCTCAGTAGATCAAAATTTAGGATGGTGGCAGATGACTTAGTAGCTTTATGTACAAATACCTTGATTTGTATGTGTTTTTGTTTTCTGATTTGATAGGATTTTAACAAGCTATGTGTGATTGGTTAAAAGTGTTAGAAATACCTATATAATTAAAGAATCTGCTATCTAATGTGAATAGATATTTTTTTAATGGAAATCATGTTATCTCTTATTTCTGTGTTTGGTGTGCATGTTTGTTGTAATAACTTGTGACATTTCAATTATAACTAGAATAACTTAGATATTAATGAGTGTGTTTAGTAGCATTAAATACCCAAATACAACGCATCTAGCCAAAATTTGTTATTATAATATAATTGGAAGACCATTAGGTAAGACCCTATGTTCAACTTTTGACCCGAAACGACATTAAGAATGGCCAAGGACCAATTTTTTGTTGTTGTTGGTGTTATTTTCAACAGCAAGTACAGGTATCATTACCTTATAAGTATTTAATTCAATATTGAGTTTTCAACTTACCAAATATTGTTAACCTCGATGAAACTAAATTACTTCATAGACGGAATGTTGACTGAAATGACTTGGGACACTTGATTTGGCCTGGTGGTCATCGGTTAAACTGTTTTCATGCTAATCTCTATTTCTGTTTTCAAGATTTCGTAGATTTGATTTAAAACATAGTAAACTAAAAGCTTTCATACTTAATAAATGCTTCTTTTATTTTTTCCTTTGGTCGTGTTTTCAAGTTCTGAAAGGTGGTTTGGCCCCATGCTTTTTTTTTTATCAGTGTTCTGGACCATGTTTATTCGTATGCCTTAAATTGAAGAGCAAAAAAACTATAATTTTGGTGTAAAACATCTTTTTCAATTCTGCCATTGTAGTTTATTGTAAAGTAAAGAAATGGTTTTGATTTTTAAATATAATTTAAAAATGTTATGAAGTATGAGAAACAGAATTATGAACTTTGATACTTAACATTTTCATTGTGTGGTCATTAAGTTCTTCTCTCTCTCATTGTATTAAATACCATAGAAACAACAACAGCTGCAGAAGAAACAAAGGCTATTCAGGACTGGATATCCAAGACACCAAGTGTTCTTTCAGTGTCCCTGTTTACTGGAGCTTTGGTAGCATCTTATCCATACAGGGCTAATAACATTGATGGTAGGTTCAGAACGATTAAGTCTAGGGCTGTTTGAACACTGATTCTTCTGATAAAGTTTAACGTCTATTTAAACTATTTAGCACTAAAGGTTGTGAAGCTGTAGGGGTTGTGGAGGAGTATGAGCCTCATTTGATTTGAAACTTTTGAAGCGTAAAAACTAAGGTTTCCTGAACTTTATCTTCAAAATTGCAAAGAATTAAACTGGTGACAGTAAACCTTTAATTGCTGTCATACTTAAAATTGAAAGAAGTTAAGGAACTTTAGCACCTTCAATTTAGGCATAACATGAAATATTGTAATAATTTTGTTTTTAAAATGTGTAAATTTACAAGAATTCTTGACATGATATTCAACAAAGTGTTAGCTATTTATTTCACACCTTGAAACTTTCAGAAAAAGAGTCACCCAATAAATACTGTGGTTCCGAAGTAGGACAAAAATTTCTTGTAATTAAACAAAAATACATTATATGTATGAGGCTTCTCTTGTAAGTTTTTCCTTTTTTTTTCTCTTGTAAGATAAAATCATTTACATAAAAGCTTGTTTGCTTCTCTAGGAACTCGTAAGACATTGGACGAGGTGGAGGAATTGGTGTTTAAGGAACTGGCAAGGGCTTATGCTAATGCCCACTCCCACATGACGAAAGACGTCACTTGCCCAGAATCTAAGTGTGAGTAACTGTTAATTTTAAATTCCATTGTGCACAGTTTTAAAGTAGATCAGCCAATATTTGTAAAACATAAAGCCTAGTTTATCTAATACGATGATCACCGATATCCTGATCAGATGGTGTTTAGCTTCTGTATTCCTTGTTGTTGAGATTGAGTGAAAGTAAGGTAATGATATGTCCGTCACACTGTATCTGTTGTATCCAGTACCATTGAGGCCTTTTTCCCAATAATAGGGCTTCGTCGGGTCGACTGGAATGCGACAGACGGAGCAGTCATCGAGGCACATGGCCAGGTGGTTAGGACACTCGACTCGCAATCTGTGGGTCGCGGGTTCGAATCCCCGTCCCGCCAAACATGTTCGCCTTTTCAGCCGTGGGAACGTTATAATGTGACGGTCAATCCCGCTATTTGTTGGTAAAAGAGTAGCCCAAGAGTTTGCAGTGGGTGGTGATGACTAGCTGTTTTCCCTCTAATCTTACACTGCTAAATTAGGGACGGCTAGCACAGATAGCCCTCGTGTAGCTTTGCACGAACTTCAAAACAAACAATCATCGAAACACAATTTATATCATATATAACAACTATTTCACCACATTTAGATAAACAAATAATTTAATAAGTATATATATATATATATGATAACAGTGTATGTTATTTTAGAAGAAAATCGGGTGACACAGATTGTATTATTTAAGAAGGAGAGCTGATGACATAATTTCTATTATTCAAACAAGGAAACTGATGACACAGTTTGTATTATTTAACTACTTTTCTTTTTCCAGATCAAAGCACAAATGGAATAGCTAATGCTGCTGCCCTTCACCCTCATTCTGGAAGCCTCATGGTAAGTTGATGGTACTATGTCTTGTGTTTGTCCTTACAGATGTAGGTTTTCCTTAAAACGTAATATACTTGAATTTAAGCATAGGACTGTAGGAACTCTTTAGTGTTATCATTAATATACAAATGTCGAGTTATCACTAAGCACAAAAGTGCTTAGTATGTAGGAATGGGCCGAGAGAAAAAATGGCTGCCACATTTAATCTATTACTCTATGATGCTTACAAATAACTGCTGAAGTTGAGTTATAGCCTTATTTGAGAACCTACTTACCATAATCGAGCGTTTCACAGCTTATAAGTCTCCTAGTATTATTTAAGAGTGTTGCTTAAGTGGAGAACTGGGAACTAGCTAAAGAGCCAAAGTGTTCATCTTTATTTTTTCTTCTCCCATACTAACCAAAAAATGAGTAAAGTTATTGCAATGGCTTTAGTACAACAGAAAAGCATTTTGAGAGCACTTGGGAACACTTGCTTAGTATGTAGGGATGGACTGAGAAAATAATGGCTGCCACATTCAATCTATTACTATGTGATGCTAACAAATAACTGCTAAAGTTGAGTTATAGCCTTATTTGAGCATATAATTGCCATTATCGAGTGTTTCACAGCTTGTATAACAGTAATATTATTCTGTTCCTCTACCACACGTATTTTTGTTGGGAAATTACTACTTAGCAGTGAGTTCAGTTTATAAGCATATATTAATTCCATGTTTCTTAAATGAATTTCATTTCTGGTCGCTAGATGGCAGAACAAATTATTCTTATATGATGACCGTTTGTGACATTTTATTGCACAAACATGATATCTGCCAAAATAATTTCAGTAAAAATAAATAAAGAAACAATAACCTAAATTAATATTCAAGGTGTCAAGTAGAACAAGTACTTATGCAACTAACAGATCTGTGTACATGTTATTGATGTCTGAATTTAAAAACACTAGTTTCTTAATTATCAAAACAATGTATAGCAGTGTACTTCAAGTTTTCAGTCGGGGCTAAGCCTGGCAGCTGTGTGTATATGAGTGGTATAATACTTCATGACTTTGGATCTGTCTGATGTCCTCCCTATTAATCAACATGACTCTAGCATGTGGTGGAGTCAGTTGTATGCAGAAGATGTGGATTCTGTAAATATCCCCTTAACATTGGTCCAGCTCTCTGGAGTTCTTTTACTGTTCTGGAGGAACCATTCCAGCTTCACTGGCCCCCAGTGTAATCCAAAATTAGAGAAACTGATATGATATTAACAATATACATTACCATTATAAAGATATAACAAATGTTCACTTATCAACCTCCTTAAATGAAATTGTTTTTAAAAAGAGGGATAACAAGTAATAAAAAAAAATTTTGAAAAAATTAAGATGTAGGGATGGCAATGCCAAAAAGTACAGAAACAAGATAGGGATGAATACACAAAACTATACAAAAATCCCTATATAAATAGCCAGTAAGTACTGAGTCAATCTTACAAGCTTATGGTTATTAGTCACTGTAAGACTGTATAGCACAATTCAGTTTAAATGCTTTTATTCAGACCTGAATTCATGCAACTGACAGGAATTCAACATTTAGCTGTAGATAAAAGTTATTCTTGGAAAGATTTGGCTACTTATGTAGGGATTTTGGGTACTCATCCCTACATCGTTTCTGTACTTTTTGGCATTGCCATCTCTACATCATACTTAATTTTTTCAAAATATTTTTTTTATTACTTGTGCTATTATAATGAAATTGCAATCTTACAGATTTACATATCTTTGGTTTTATTCATGAGTTTGCATCAAGAACCTATCCAGAATTTAAACATGGACTCAAAGGGTTAACTTTCATTACAAGTATATAGTAAGAGCACAGAAAATGTCTTCTGATGTTTTCCCTACTGTGAGATTCTTACGACTTTTAGTTACAATGAAGATGCTCTATAATCATACACTACTTTTTTTTCTGCAGGACTTCATCTATGATCATGGTTACGGCTATGACCTAGGCATCTACGTCGATTGCTGTGCAAGCCCTCAAGAGTCGAAGCTATACGATATTTGGAAGGATCATCGACCTGCCTTGCTTGAAATGTTGAGACTTGTAAGTTTCTGTGATTATTGTTATATACATATAAATAAACTTGGTAAGTAAGAATCTGTGCGGTGAAGTTGTATGTGAGAGTCATCTTCACTTTATTGAAAAAGTTACAGCCATAGGGGAACTAAATCCAGAATGGATTTACATGGTAGTTAATACAAATATAGAAAAAACAGTTTATAGAATGAAACTACCAAAAGAGTTGCTTCAAACCTTCAGTAAAACATTACAATCAATGATAATTATTACGAACGACGGGCAAACTACAGAAAGCCTTAAGAACACCTTACAGAGAAGGACCTATTAGCACATTACTAAAGCATGAAACCAGAATTATCGCATGTGAAGTTTCATGTACTCTGCCCGTCACATTTGGCCAATGTAGTTATTACTAGTTAAGGAATTAAATGATGTATATTATATCTATCAAACATTGTAAATAACTAAAATATTTATTGAATTAATTCAATTTAACCCTATTGCCACAGGTATCCTTTACTACTCATGACACAAGGCTTTAGTGTTTTACATCCAAAATGTTATTTAACTACC